AAAAAAAAAAATACACAATCAACCTGGAACAAGCTTATAATGAAGACCTAGATGGAAAAGACATTAACGAGCTTGAGCTGAGAATACATTATTGTCATAACGTGAAAACTTTAAGGAAAATTCTTGAACATTTAAGTTACACTTGGAGTCGACTTGTTCTGATTCACAGTTTCATGTCATCCCTATTTATTTGGTAGACCTGCAGTTTATCCCGTCTCTGAAACAACATGTTTAGTTCCCTTCTCGTGTTCTTTAATACAAACCTTCTTCTAATTGGCTGCTTCGTGTAAGCAGAGGGATTCGTTCTATTGGCTATAGTAGCACCGTTGTCCTCCCTCTGATGGTGCCCCCTTAAAATCCCCTTCATTAAAACTTTTTGTGTGGATTGTTAATCTGCTTAGACATTATCATAGATTGTATTCACCCTCTCCATATAGTGATGCCTCTGCTTTTTATTTTCACAACAAACAGCGCCACCCTGTGGTTGAGGAAGAACTGCCTACAAAGACAAAAAGAGAAAAATAAAAATCAGTGCAGGTTCTAAGATAGAAAATAAAGGCAGAGACATGTGAGTGACCATCTTCTGACCTCTTCTCCTGACTGGGGAGGAAACTGATCCTGGACCAGATCCTGATTCAGTGTCTTCATCACAATTTGCACATCCTACTGTAAGAAACACAAAGCATGCAATAAACACAAAACATTTGCCAATGTGAGAAATTAAGTAATAATTTTTTAACATCATAAATCTGATAAATACTGTTCAATCACAACATTAAAACTATCTGCCCAGTATAGCTCACCCCTTGTGCCACCAAAATGTCTATAAGCAGGACAAATGCGCGTGCTCTAGCACCTCTGTTATGACAACAGATTAATGTCTTTGTGTTCTCAAGATTTTCTTTAGCTGTGGCTCAGGTAGGTGCAGGTAGGTCTATTAATTTCCTTGTTATTTGTTTAGTCCTGAGTTCCCTGAATGTCCTCATCAGGTCATCATGCACAAAATACCAAAAGCTAAACGGGTCTACAAGCCTCCCTTGGATGGGGATTTTTAAAAAGCATAAATGTGTCTGAATGCAGTTTGTTGTATGGAAATGCTTTTCTCAGTAAAGCTGAAGTCACTGCCACCAAAGAGTACTTGTGAGAACCCTGCAGAAACTTTAGGCTGCATGTTTTGTTCCGTTTTCTTGCATTATTTCTGTTCCTGTTTTATTTTGTACTCATCATTGTCTCTCATTTCTCATCTTTCACTTCCTGCATTCCCTACCTTTGTGGTTTCCTCCCATAATGTGTTCTGTACCTGCCTCTGTCTCCTGTGGACTTATAAACTGTGAGTTCTCCTTGTCCTCGCTGATAATCCTTGCATGTATTCAGCATTCAACAGTGCAGTCTTTCCTGTTGCATGACTCATATTTTGTTGGATTAGTTACCAAACCTTGATTTACAACAATAGATATCAGATATTTGGATATTTGATTCTGAACCTATGGATTCTGAACTCTTTCGGTCTCTGCTCCATAGAAAGATACATCATCAAAAGGCTCTGATGGCTGATTTAGTTAATGAACACCAAACTACACTCCAGTTCTGTCTTTTATCTAATACGGTGCAACCTTCAAATATATTTCAAAAGCTGAACATATAACTGAGACTAAACGGTCTGGTCAACATAAAAAAATGATCATTTCTAATTTGGTGTAAAGTGGGAAAAAAAGACAAAATGTTACAAAGCGTGTGAGATTATTGATCGAATCAGTCTAACCAGTCTTAAGCAGTACTGATTATTCAGAACTATCCTCGATTACATTCATGTATTCATGCTTACAATTAAGTAGTTAAAAGCTTTTACTCACCCATAGATAAAGACAGCTAGTGTGATGACACAGGAGGATTCCAATTGCAGATGGGAGTATGTATAGAAAATACTTTGATGAAGCGGAATCTGTATAAAATCAGCAGTAAATTAATTTCAAGTGCTTGTTTGACCTTTACTAGAAGTGATTAGCTCTGTGTTTTGTTCTACCTACCTTTGGGGTGCTCAGACACAGTTAAACTCCATGTAATGCTGTATATGCCACTTCTGTCTGTTATGCTACATGTATAAAGTCCTTCATCTTCAGGCTGAGCACTAAAAATAATTAGCTTTGTAGGAAACTCATGATTTATTTTCAGTCTATGAAAAGAGAAATTTGAATGGGTGCGATTCAGCACATTGGAATGTTGAAAAACACATCTTCTGTTGGTCCAGGAGACTAGGGTCACATTATTATGTCTTATATTGCAAGTCAGTGTCACTGAGTCTCCTCTGGACACCAGCAAAGCTCTGCGGTCGTCTTTAGTGATTCCTATAGTTTAAAGGAGTTAATCAATTAATATAGTCATCGGTAATGACAAATTTCGATAACAGGATGAACATAAATATGTCTGTACCTGCAAAGACATGCCACATCACTAATAGCGGAATGAGAAGTGCTGCTTGGTTCAGTCTAAACATCATGACCATCAGACTGAGAGAGAAAGAGAGCTGAACTTCACGATCAGCTATATTTGTATCTGAGAAAGAGCAGCAGGGGGAAAAGGAAGTGGTTAGTTATTGTATTGCTAAGAACTGCCTGCGTACTTTTTTCACATGAGACCAGGTACGAGGAGGAACCCAGGACCCCTGCACCAACGTCAGGTCTTACAGTTGGTCCAAGGATTTCATCCTTCATACGTAATGGCAGTCAGGGTGTCACTGTCTAGCCTGTATAGGTCTGTGCTTCCCATCCATGGCCATGCCTCCCTAGACCATCACTGACCCAACACCAAACCGGTGATGCTCCACAGCTTCTCCAGACCCTTTCATGTCTGTAACATATCCTTGGGATCATACTGCTCTAATCTGTGGAAAGCACAGGGCACCACTGGTGGATCTGCCAACTCTGGTCTTCTATGGCAAATGTCAGTCAGGCTCCACAATACCAGGCAGTGAACACAAGGCCTGTTAGAGGATGCCAGCCCCTCAGGCCACACTCATGAAGCTTCTGATTGTTCAGCCAGAGACATTCACACCAATGGTCTGGAGGTCATTTTGTAGGGATCCTGCAGTGCTTGGTGCTCTTTATGTTTAGTTATGTTATTTTATTTTTTTGAGGAGTCTATATAATGATTCCCTTCAGCAACAAATTGTTACAACTAAATTGAGTATAATTATAATTAAGTGTTCTCACTTAGTTTTCCCTTCACTAAATAAATGTATCTGTGTTGAAGATGCTCCAAATGTTATATTATATAACCTATCAAGCTAATGGAAGTTTAAACTAAGTACAAGTTTAATATTGGTCTTGAGGTTCTAAACGCACCCATCATGTGTGGCATAATTCTGATGGAAGAAATTATGACAACCGTGTCAAGCATGTGTAATTTCCTTCTTTGCGGCTTTGATGTGTGAAATGAGATATTATAGTAAACTTCGCTCTACTGCAGACTGAAAGTAAGCAAGGGGAAGTTCAGGGCAATCGGGTTTAGATAGATCACATACTGATCCATTGATTAATTTTGAGTACTTTTAACTTTTCCATTCCAGCAAATGCAATGTAGATAAAGAGGTTAGCATCACTACCCAAGAAGCTTTTCAATTCCTTTATGTCTGCCCGGTCTTACAACCTTAACTACAAAGAAAGCACATGAACAGGACACAGTGTGTGTGTGTGTGTGTGTGTGTGTGTGTGTGTGTGTGTGTGTGTGTGTGTGTG